CGTAGAGGAGCGAAAATTACAAGTCTAATTTTAATTAGATTGCTTTAACTCGCGCATGCGTGCGTCGATTGCCTTCTTTTGGCATCTTAACTCCCCTCCCGATGCTGCCAGGGTTTGTCAAGATTTTCTCGCAAACAATAACATTTATCCACTTGACTGGTCTCCGTCAAGTCCATCTTTTTCGCATCAACCGTCTGTGGGACTAGGGGACGATAAGGTTTAAAATGTCCAAGCTGGTCTCAATCAACTAAAGGCTGCCTTCTCGGAAGGGTTGAATAATATCCCTATTAGAAAGATAAATACACTGATGAACTCCATGCATGGGAGAATCAAGGCTGTGACAGATGCGCGAGGGAGACATGTGAGATAATGAGAATTTCATTTTTCACTTTTGGGGAGTACCGTCATATGAGTTTCAATAACTCATGAATTGTTTGGGAAAATCAAATGAGATTTTGGTTACATTTTTATTAAAGATAATTTTAAATGTTAGGTGGGATAACTGGAAAATACGTCTGAAATGTATAACCTTATTTCACCTAAAAATTTTACCCTGCGTTTCTTTTTCCTTTCAGTATATGAAAACGCTTACGTTGCTCCTGTCGAACCTGTAACGGGAAATTCATCACGAAAGACTCAATGAGTCAATAAAAATTCCGACGGACCGACCACATACGACTTACCAGACCACTTAAGTTCTCTTATGTCTAATGTTTCTGATAGATTATCAGTAAAAGAGAAGCCTTTTAGCCCAGTATTCAGAATTTTTTGTTGAACCCGATGGACGGGTATGTCAAACAGACCTTGTCCAACACAAAATTAAGCTTAACGTTGAAACAGCTGTACACATTCCAGCTAGGCGGTTGCCTATACACCACCGCTTAGCAGCTAATGAAGGAATAGACAAAATGCCCAAGCTCAAGGCCTAGTTGAACCAAATAAATCGCCAAGGGCAGCACCCATCGTATTGGTTAAGAATAAAAGACAATGCCACTCGATTTTAGAAAAACTGAACTTGAATACAATAAAAGAAAGCTATTCCTACCCAGAATGGACGATTCTCTTGATTCGATGCCAGGCGCCAAGTACTATTGTACACTAGATCTTGTTCAAGGTTTCTTTCAGGTTAAAATATATGAGGAGGACAATCCAAAAACGGCTTTTGCCACTCACAGCGGGTTGTACCACTTTCGTGTAATGCCTTTCGGTTTGGCCAATAGTCCTAAGTCATTTGAACAACTAATGGAACTTGTGCCCAGTGTTCTACAATGGGAGCGTTGTCTTATTTATCTTGATGACATTGTTTTCGGAAAACGTTCACAGAAACTTTAAACAATTAGAAACAAGTTTTTGATAGGCTCAAGGGTGTTAACTTAAAATTAAATCACCAAAAATGTACCTTCTTTGAAGGTGAGGTACGATATCTAGAACACAGTGTCTGTCGACAGAAACAAATGTGATTCAGAAAAATCAGGGCAGTCTCGGACTGGCCGACGCCTGGGTCAGTCTCTGAGGAATTTTTTCGACAATAGCTTTTTGGCTGATGCAATTAACACAGAAAAACAGAAAATTTTCATGGAACGAGGAGTGCGACGCTGCATTCCAAAACGTAGAAGCTTTACTTTCAGCACCGATCTTGTCCTATCCGACACGCCAAGGTCAATTCGTGTTAGACCCGGATGCGAGTAATTCCAGAATAGGCGCGGTCTTGTCGCAAATTCAAGATTGCGAAGAACTAGTCATTGCTTAAGCTTGTAAGACCCTTTCTTGTTCTCAGCGAAGGTACTGCACAACCTACCGAAAATTGCTCGCCGTACTTTTCATTTAAAAAACATTTACCGTTCACGGTAGCTCAGTCGGTAGAGCCCTCGCTCCGTGAACGGGAGGTCGTGAGTTCGAATAATGGGTAGCAACTGTTCCCTCGCCATGCGTTCGGCACTTTGGAGTGAAAGTTGCGGGTCCTTCGGATGAGACTTTAAAAACCTAGGCCCTGTGTCACGGCAGGCGTTGGCACGATAAAGATCCCTCACTGCTCAATGGCCCTGAGTGCCGAGTAAAGGTCAAAATTTGAAGCCCTTCACCGGTATATGGTGACGTCTCTATATGAGTGAAAAATTCTCGAATGGGACGTTAAACAACATACAATCAATCAATCAGATATTACAATGAAGCGCATTGAAGTGGTAATTTTTCTTAGATTGAATAGAAAGTCTGGGTATTTCTTATCGAACGTCAATTGCTACATGATAACACGCCCATTTCTTAAGAAACGAGTAAGAAATATTCGTCGTAATGCTGTAGGAAATCTCACTCTCTGCGAATAGCAACGTCATTTACACTGAAATGGAGACTTTATAAAGTTAGAAGAGAGGGTTAGAGACCCTGCTTTTGTAAAACACATATTGCAATATGTACATAATTATGGATGTTATTAGTAACATGTTTACTAAAGTTACCACAACACATCTATCGGTCGAACTCGATTTTACTTGGTGTTTATGTAGACTGTCAATTTGATTGGCTATGTTTATTTCAGTATCTATACTTACCTGCATCGAACATTTAGCAATATGTCACGGACTCCTACTACTGTGCCCGAATTATTTTTAGAACGAGTTATTTTCCCTAAACTCACTCTCTAATACCCGACATCCGGGTACCTCAGTTTATGTTCGGGCAGCCATTTTGGTTTCACGCGGGTTTTTTTCTGCGGTGAATTTTTTCAGGCTTTTTACCTACTACTTTGCGTATATCATTCAAATAATTGGTTTAACCTTTAATTCTAAAGTTTTTGATCGTTATTTTGCTTTTTAGCCGTGGTTTAGTTTGTGTTTGTCGTTTACTTTACCGTAAATTACTTAGGTTGGTACTGACCACGTGTAGTAATTGGTAAGCATTGCAGACGAATCCTATAAAGCATGCAAGCGATGCCAAAGAGAGATGTCGTGCATTGACGATCAAGAAGAATGTTATCGGCATCGTTCATGTTCAGAATCTAGTCCTTGCAGGGTGTGTAAGACTTGGTCGAAAGATAAACGGACCGCGGTTACGTGCATGATAGAAAAGCATAAACAACAAAAAAAAAGCAAGAAACCTGCCACGGTGTCTAAAGCCCCCGAGGAAAAGAAGACAGCGACACAGTCAGATTCTTCTAAAGGTAAGAAAGTCGCTCTGCCGGGGGATAGTCCTCAGAAGAATATCTCGAGTATTCAAGTAGCTGAGTCTGCTGTGGAAGTTCGGAACGTTCTGTCCTCAGAACAAATTCCTATAGCATACAACGAACCTGCTATGGCCCGTCATTCCTAGGACATTTTAGACCATTGTTCGGCCGTTCCGTCCTCGGAACACGAGAGCCCTAGCGTTAGGCCAGGTCATTCCCATGACCAATCAAGCCAGAATATTGCAACTCTAGTTGGAATTGAATTTTTTTTTTCATTTAATAAGGATCAGACATCACAAGGGCAAATGCCCTTCATGTTTCCCCCATGGATGATGGGAAATAAGCAGGATATTATAGATAAAAGAGTATCTGAATTGTTGTCAAACAAGTGCCTGCCGAGGCCCCTAAGGAATAAGACAGAAGCAAGTCTGGCACTAAGCACAGGAGATTTAACAAGTTTCAACCCCTGTCAGATAAAGTTTCAGATTCTTCCGAAGAGTCTGAAGATGAAAGAGATGTTGTTCGCATAACAGAGTCATCAAATGAGTTTGATGAAGTAGAAAATCGCTCCGAGACAGGTCAATCAACTTCTCTCCCTTGTACTTCGAAAGTTGACTGGAAATGCTTCGTTTCAAGAGTTGCATCAGACCTAGGCATTCCTGTGAAGGAAAAGAGGGGAGAGACGGAGTACAAGTCTTATGTCTCCGAGCATCTATTAATTCCAAAGGAGGCTAAACAGTCTGGTCTGCCTTTGGAAGGCTCAATCGTGCACATATTGGAAGAGGTTGATAAAGAATGGCAGGACAAGGGAAAGATTAGATGTTTTCGGTCACATGATGACTAGAAATACATGGTGGATGAGGATCACTTTAAGAAGTTTTGTACCTCTCCGCAGTTAGATGAGAATATTGAAGAAGGTATTATGAGTTCTGCAGAGTCAAGAAGCCAAAAGAGTGCAATGCCTTATAAGTTTAACAATAAGACATTTGAGTCTACAAATAATGAGTTAAGAAGAATGGACACGAGCTCACGACTCTTGCTTAGACAGATTTCTTCTGGCTCATTGATTACTACATACTTAGACAGAGCAGTGTCTGACGAAGACAGGCATGAGGCTACCCAGGCTTTATCTCAGGTTTTCCAGTCAATGGCAGATGTGACTGCCAGAGTGATGTTGAACTCTGTTACTATGAGAAGGGGTCTTTATCTTAAAGACATGGCCTTCAAGAATAAAGCAACTGAAAATGAATTACTGCGTCAATCTGCAATTGGCCCAAAATTGCTTGGTGGAAAGTTTTTTGAGGTGTTGCATACACAGCAAAATGTGCCACGTACGTATCACGTACGTTAAACGTATGTGATACGTATGTGACTTCACATACGTATCACATGAAAAAAGCACCACGTACGTTAAACGTACGTTTTCACACATATGAATATCATGCGTGACACGTACGTTAAACATACGTATTGACTACCATACGTTACACACACGTTGCACATGTACGTTATTCATACGGTTCACGTATGAATAACGTATGTGTGCAACGTGTGTGTAACGCATGTTTTAAGAAACATGCGTTTAACGCGTTTGTTAAATAAACTGCTCATATGATATATGTATAAGTTCCATACATTGAACATTTTTTTTCACATACTGTAAACAGGTTAAACAAAAATGATTCAATTCATGCATTTGACATAATTTTCTTCAAAGGCTTATTTTCTTTTCATCTGTTGAATGATCCACATTTTGAAGGTACATATCTGGTTATCCTTCACCTCAAATTTCCTGATCCTTATTGCTCTTAAGGCAATCACAACAAAAGACATATTCAAATCTAAGCCAAATTTAATGTTGAATTTTTTGAACATCAATCTATTCTTCTGCAATTCTCTTTTATCTGTAAAGAAAAAGAAAATATTAAATGAATTTGCATAAGGAAAAACACAATTTTTTGATCAATATTATTTTCCACATATAACTCCTGGTTGATTCCCTATAGAACTAAAATATAGAGTTGAATAACTACAGTTTTTTTTTATTATTAATAATCTTGGTCATTTAAACTAGACTTTTCACAATCCTCAAGTATCTACCTTATAATCCTCTACTTGACAAATTTAAAATTGAAGTATTGCAAGTGAACTCAGAAAATAAAACTTGTTCATCATAGTTATGAACTTAGTTTGTTTGCTTTAAACTCAGGAGGAGCATTATATAGATTTTCAATGAATCGATACATAATAACACTATATGATCAATGAAGCCTTGCCCTAACACCTGAATCACTTAAATTACCCTGGGGCCATGAATTTCATAATTTTAGTAGAAGACTCAATGCTTATTACAATCATGCTAACAGTTTGCTTGATGTCCAGGTTTAAAGAAATTGCATTAATTTTGATGGTTTTAGCTCCATCCCTTTGGCCCCAGGGGGAGCAGGGACCATGAAATTCACTATTTTTGTTTCCATTCAACCACAGATGCTTTATTAATTTATGCGATACAAACTTGATCCCCAATTGTGGCCCCTTCCTACCCCCGAGGTTCATGATTTGAACAAAATTGAGTCTACACTACCTGATGATGCTTCCATATTAACATGACTAATCATGGCTTTTCTGTTCTTGAGAAGAAGATTTTTTCCTATATATTTTTATGTAAAACTTTGATCCCCCATTATGGTCCAACCCTATCCTCAGGGGATCATGATTTCAACAAACTTGAATCGACACAACCTGAGGATGCTTCCATTTCAAAATGACTATTCATGGCTTTGCTATTCTTGAGAAGAAGAATTTTAAAGTTTTTTCCTATGTATTCCTATGTAAAATATTGATCCCCCATTCTGGCCCCTCCCTACCCCTGGGGGTCATGATTTGAACAAACTTGAATCTACACTACCTGGTGATGCTTCCTTATCAATATGACTAAACAAGGCTTTGCTGTTCTTGAGAAGAAGATTTTTAAAAATTTTCTTATATATTCCTATGTAAAACTTTGATCCCCCATTGTGGCCCCTACCTACCCCCGGGGCTCATGATTTAAACAAATTTGAATTTACACTTTGACATACAAGGTTTCCTATAAGTTTCAACTTCTTTTGGTCCAGTGGTTCTTGAGAAGATTTTTAAAACATCCCACTAAATTTTCACTATTTCTTAATTATCTCCCCTTTAATGAGGGTGTGGCCCTTTATTTGAACAAACTTGACTCCCCTTTACCCAAGGATGGTTTGTGGCAAATTTGTTTGAAATAGGGCCAGTGGTTCTGGAGAAGAAGTCGAAAATGTGAAAAGTTTACAGACAGATGGACAGCTAGACAGACAGACTACAGACAAAATGTGATCAGAAAAGCTCACTGAGCTTTCAGCTCAGGTGAGCTAAAAACAGATAGCAATAGGTCATGACTGACTCAGGTTACCTAATTAGTTAAAATCTTTTTTTTGTGATTTACATGTAAGTCAGCTCATGCAGGTGCAAATATTGCTTATCACAGATATAAATACAACAGTAAAATTTTAGACATAACCATATGTCTAACAATTAAATTCTATATAATAATAATAGAACTTACCCTCAGCATTAATCTTTCATAGCTTGGCATGGACCTATATGTTTTTGTGTCTGTTCAAAGTGTATACTTTTTGTCCTTGAGGTAAAAAAAATTGCATTTCAGACTTGTAAAGGAAAACAAACAAGATGAAAAATTACTTATTTTACTGATATTCAGATAACATTTAACATTTTCTCCTCTTGTGATTTAAATGTAATGCACATCATTACATGTTATATGTAATTGCAAGTCTAAAAGCAATGGGATCAGAAAATCTGATTTCTTTTTAAAGAGTATTACCATAATGCTGGTTAAACTTTCAGAATCTGTTTTTGAAGTCCAGACTTGGCATTTAGGTGTTTACATAGGAGATGTCAGAGCTTCAGCCACCATCCTGGAGTGTACATTTAAAATCACATAAAAAAATCACAATCTCATTAAAATACATTAATTATATTCATAAGGACTGTATGAAAAAGACAAGTGAAAAATAAGTGTTACACCCTGATTGCCCTAAAAGACAATTTATATTTCCTCTACATGTTTTGTAAAGAAATACATTGGGTGGGTGGAACTTTTTCCATCACGGGTTTTATTTGCATCTTATTGGTAGGCTAAAAAAAATCAGTTACAATAAATATTTTTTATAACAATATGTTTTAAACCTCACCTGAATTTTGATATAATGTGCCAGTGTTGATTCACACCTGGGCTGGGGTGCTGACCAAGACAGCTGACTGCGTCAATATTTTCTTACTTAGTTTACATTACGTTATACACTAAAATAAAAGAAACACGCCCGTTAGTTTACATGCAACACAGTCTGAAATATAAAGTAATTAAATAACTGTTGATGTTATATATTCCTCACCGTTATCCTAGCCCTCCATACACTGTCTTGCAGACGTCAGACTTCTTACCAGTGACGTCACCCGTAACGTAAATAATAATTGGAGGTGAAAATTCCGGAACGTATATTTTACATATTTTAGTATTATGCGGACGCTACCTACTGTATAATTATCTAATATCTATATAGGTGAATTCCATTTGAGTTTTGTTGTGAAATTATCGTGATTTTCTTTTTTTTTAATTCAGCTTTTGCTCCTGAATTCGGAATGATTATATCTACCGATGATCGAGTTCAATTTTATGTGCCTCTACCGATATCCGATATACACATTACGAAATTGGTGTACTTGTAAAGTTGTATGTAGACTATGTTTTACTGCTCTAAGAGTAAACTATACACCAATGCGAACTGATTACTCCATGTCAAACATGCAAGTGGACGTAAGGTAAACAATGTGAAATAAATTGGAACATTAAAGACGCAAAACACGCACAAGTCAACAACGCACACACCTGTGAGCTTTCAGAGGTGATTGGGTTTTAATCATCGATCATGCTATGATATTATTTTTTGAAAAAAAAATAGTTTAATCTTTAAAAATATATTACTATATAATGATTAAAATCCATGCAACTTATGATCTAGGGTCCCGTTTTAAGAGGGATTTTATACTTAGACCAAGTTGGGGAATGGTCGCAATACTCCGTTTCATGAATTACACATTTACCAGGTCCAGCACAATACCCCGATAAAGGTATATAGCTTGATAAAGCTATATACCTTTATCAAGGTATTACAAATACCTTGATCAAGGTATTTTATGTAATGAAAATACAAAAAAAAAAAAAAAATCCTAAAAAAATTAAATTTAAAAGTCGAATTATGAGTTGTGGTCAGTGTGTTCACTCGTGCATGAAAAGTACTCAGGTATCATGTAAGAACGTCCCCTCACACGACATGCTTTTATACTGATTTCTTGGTGTTTGGGTACTTTACATGCACGAGTGAATTTACTGAGAACAACTCAGAACTCGACTTTCAGTATTTATTTATTTTTTTTTTAAGGATTTTTTTGTATTTTCATTTAATAAAATACCTTGATCAAGGTATTTGTAATACCTTGATAAAGCTATATAGCTTTATCAAGCTATATACCTTTATCAGGGTATTGTGCTGGACCTGTTTACAGGTTATTGATTGTTAAACATTATCTTGATTAGTTCTCCATATTCACTTTGAACTATTAAGTAAAAAAAAGTATTTGGTCTGAGGTGTACTTTTGTACAAAAAGTTCCTGTATTTGAAAATGTCACCAATTTAAGAATATTAAAGCCCCAGCAACAATAAAACTTTTAGGGATTTTTTTCACTTATTGACTAAAATTAAATACTAATTTTACTAATTAATTAAACATAATTGAAATAAAAAAAAAAATAAAAAGGATTGAATTTAATTATAGTTGACCTACATTTATTATACATGTATGTAAAAGTACCATTAATATAGAAAATATACAGCCTTCTCAAACACAGCTAGCTTTTCACACACATGTAAAACAATTTTTATTAACATACATGTAACGTAGCTGATAATACTCATACTTGTCATTAACATACATGTAATGTGTGGTTTATAATACATGTAAACCATGCATATATTAACGTATGTGTAATGTGTGGTTGACAATAAATGTAAACCATGTGTGTGAAACATGTGTAATGTATAGTTTATAATACACATATAAACCATGTGTTTATTAACGTATGTGTAACGTATGGTTGACAATACATATGTAAACCACATGTTCATTAACGTACGTGTAACGTGTGGTTGACAATACACATGTAAACCATGCGTTTATAAACGTATGTGTAACGTGTGGTAGCACATACCATATGTTACACGTACGTGAAACGTACAAAACACATACGTGTATTCCAACCACACGTTTCACGTACGTTATGTGAAACGTATGTTGTCACACGCACGTTATCCATACGTTGTACCACGTACGTGTAACATGCGGTTGGAATACACGTATGTGTTACGTATGTTTCACGTACGTGTAACATACGGTACGTGCTACCACACGTTACACGTACGTGGCACAATTAGCTGTGTAGCAGTGCAGAAAATCTTAGGGATGCCAAGGAAACTCAACATCTGAGATTTAAAACAAAAGGACTTAAAGAGGAAGTCTGACGACTCTAGAGCGTCAAAAGCCTCGGATAAGTCAACATACTCAACTCCGAAAAAGAGGAGATATGACAGCTCTGATAGGCAGAACAAGACTAAGGACAGCTCGTTCTTTCAGAACAGTCAGCACTCCCAGCAGTCTAGACAAGGTTTTAAGAAACCAGACAACCAAAAGTTGGGGTTTCGCCCAAGAAAACAATAGATCAACAGAAAACAAACATTCCATCTGTCGGAGGAAGACTGACGGAATGCTTGGAGGAATGGAAGCAGATAACTTCCGACCAGTGGGTTGTAAATATAGTCCAGAAAGGACTTCGTCTTCAGTTTGCCTCCACGCCGGCAAGAATCGGCGTAAGAGAAACTGTATTCAGTTCTTTACAGAAAAATATGTGTATATGCGAAGAAATAAAGGATTTATTATTTCAAGATGGAAACTTTCTGGTCAATTCAACAAGCTATAAGAAAAGGAGATTGGACAATTTCAATAGACCTGAAGGATGCATACTTTCATGTTCCAATCTATCCACATCACAGACAGTTCCTTCGGTTTTGTTTCCAAAGAATGCATTACCAGTTCAGAGTAATGCCATTTGGACTAGCAATAGCTCCCAGAGTTTTCACAAAGCTGATGGCTGTAATAGGACAGTATTTGAGGTCTCGACAGATTCACATATACATGTACCTGGACGATTGGTTAATTAAGAGCCAACATCGTCAATTGCTAGTGCATCAAAGAGAAATATTACTGAACTTGCTTCACAGCTTGGGCCTGTTAGTAAATTGGCATAAGTCTCAACTGATACCAACTCAGGAATTGGACTATTTGGGGGCGCATTTCAGTTTGACAAGGGGAGCTGTGTACCCATCAGAAGAAAGGTTTCGGAATCTTTCGCAAGAAATTGCACAGTTCCAGAGATCAACATGGATGCAAGCACACAAGTTTCTCAGGCTTCTGGATTTAATGACAGCATAAATAGATTTAATCCCGTTAGCTCGTTTACATATGCGGCCTATCCAGTTTTATTTCCTGTCTTTATGGCAACCACACAAGGACAGTTTGTTTGCCCTGATACCCATCAATCAAGATTTGGTCACTCATCTGGAATGGTGGACCAACAGAACAAATATATTCAGAGGAGTTCTTCTTTACCAGGAAGAGCCAGTAGTTCTGTGGACAGATGCATCAGAGATGGGTTGGGAAGCCCATTTAGACACACTTCAAATTGCAAGGAAGTGGAATGTGTCTCAACAAACCCATCATGTAAGCTGGCTAGAAATGAAAGCTGTTCAGTTGGCCTTGATGCAGTTTTTGCCCCAGATCAGGAACAAGCGAGTCCTCCTCAGGTGCGACAATTCAACAGTTGTCTCGTACATCAACAAGGAGGGAGGCACAAGATCATTTCTACTCTGTCTTCTGACCTGGGAGATTTTTCAGTGGGCAAAGAGTCACAATATTTTCCTCAGTGCAGCCCACATACCGGGAAAGAGAAACATCCTAGCGGACAGTTTATCCAAGGGTCGATTAAGCACTCGACTGACAGAGTGGAGCCTGTATCAGAATATTGTGAGGAATATTTTTCAGAGATTCGATCCTCCAAATATCGATCTGTTTGCAACTTGGGAGAACAAGAAGCTTCAAGTGTTTTGCTCCCCATTTCCAATGGAAGGAGCCTTTGCAACAGATGCACTGAGTGTAAGCTGGACAGGGATGTATGCATAATCATTCCCTCCTCCAGTTCTGCTCCACCTAGTTCTACAGAAAGTAGCACAGGAACACTGCACTTTGATACTGATAGCACCATTTGCACCACGTCGGTCATGGTACCCATTACTCCTGGAACTTCTCATAGATCATCCAAGAGAATTACCAGTGGTGTCAAGAATGCTGACACAGAAAAGAGGTCAAGTGGTCCACCCAGATCCAGAAAATCTAAGACTAGTAGCTTGGAAAATATCCAGCATAAGCAAGCTGAGAGAAAATTTTCTCCAAGAGCTCAGAAATACATGGAAAAGAGCAGAAGATCATCAACCAAAAGAGTATATGATGCAAGACTGCGAGTTTACAAAAACTGGTGTTGTGAACAATGTGTCCATATTCTTCCTCTGTAGAAGACATGGCAAATTTCCTGGTATATTTGCATGAAGCAAAGGGATGTAGAGCTTCAACCCTTGCTGGTTAAAGGGCAGCAATTGCTACAGTCCACAAGGGTTACAGTCAGTTCTGAGAAAAGTTTGTCCGACTTGATAAAGGGAATTTTCATTCTAATCCTTCCATTAAGCCCTTGTTACCTAATTGGGACTTACCCTCTGTGTTATGGGCTTTGACAAAACACCCTTTTGAACCCATGGAATCTATAGATTTGAAATTTTTGACTTGGAAGACTGTATTTCTGGTGGCTTTGGCATCTGCAGCACGAGTAAGTGAAATACATGCCTTGTCTATCAAGGAATCAAATTACAGAGAAGAAAGTACTGGTGTTAGACTTCTTCCTAATTTACAATTCTTAGCCAAAACCCAACGTCTTGGTAAGGCATGGAATCCAATTTTTATTCCCAGATTTGACAGATTTGCGACTGAATCAAATGATCTGTTACTCTGTCCATGCAGGTGTCTATAGATGTACAGAAAGAGAACACTCTTTATTACATATCAAAAGAATTTACATAGGTCAGCAGCTAAAGGCTCTATATCTAGATGGATTGTTTCCCTTATAAGATATGTGTATGAGAATTCAATAGAGCTAAACTTAGGAGAGGT